TTGGTCCGAAAAATGATTTAGGTGATTCTCGTTATCCTTTGTAATTTTTTTTTTGGTGAAATTGAATTTATTTAACTGTAGTTGGCTGCTTTTTTATGGTGTCTTATTGGTATGATGCTCATCGTTATTGAATTTAATCAGGAGATGGTTGATTGATGGGATTATTTAATGAATGGATTTATTAATTTGAGAAAATTTGTTGGAATTGCTGGTATCAAATGTTATTTATTATTTTATTGATTGAAATGTTGGTAATTATTTCAAAATGGAATTCTACCCTCACAATGATGTAATAATAAATATAATTATTTTTTTATTCATAAATGATTATTTAAAATAGCAAAAAAAAAGGTTAAAAATTCTTGAACAAATATTTACAAGTGCATTGATAAATTATTAACTTTCGTTGTTATTATTTATTTTTCAGATGAGAATATCTATACTGGAACATTACTGAGCAAACAAATAAATGTAAACTATTTTGAAACTAAATATAAAATAGCCTCTATATATTTTACGTTCTTTTTACAACAGAATGGATGTTTCAATTTCAATTTTATAAAAAGCTCTGATAAAACATCAACTTTGAAATGCGAACCGATGTCACATATATACATATACACATCAGTAATGGAGTTGAAAGTGTTCTTGAGTTTTCCTTTGAAAAAAAGGAGGGCGAGAGAAACAGTAGAGACTAGAGTCACAGTGGTATTGAGAGTCTCCAGTCGTGTGTAGATCTACGAAACCCCAAAGGTTGTTTTGAAAATCGATGTGGGACCGTATATATTTTATGTGCCGCCTTTTATTTCGATACGAGCCAAGTTCGATTCCAGCACAAACCTAATTTGCGTTCCATCTCGCGAGCAAACACTCTATATGGTATATAGGTCTACCTTTTTATATGTAGTATGTCTACTATGTTGTTGCTACTATACCATTCCCTCCATCCACCAACCTTTTGGCTCTATATGATGCACTGGTAGGTGTATATCTTCTGACTTTTTATTACCAAATATATATACTGATACTCCAATTTCTTCTGTCAATTTCATTTTTCACCAAAAAAAAATTTATCTTCATGAAAATATTTTTTTATTCTCCAAAATGAAAACAATCTCCAACATCTTCAAAAATCAATGAATAAATAAACTTACCTGTGTCCAGCTGTTTGGTGATACTTAAAATTAGAGTAGGAATTTTTTTAAGGTCAGTGATAACACAATGATGTAATTTTCTGATAAACTAGCGTTTAATAGATTACGTCGAGGTTTAGTACAGTTTAATTTTTTTTCCATTTTGTTGTTTGAATTTGACATAAACCAGATGAACTTGCGATACTGTATTACAGGGAGTGGCACGCAGGTATAAGTAAGAATTAGTAATCAGTTATATCATTAAATCTTTCCACTGCGAATTTGTGTGAATCTGGGATTGGTATCTAGTAAATTCGGGATCAATAATTCGCGCAGCTTTCACAGTTATGATGCGGTATTTCGTGGCAAGACGTCATATTTCCTTTAAATTCATACATTGAGCATCAGATGTTTTATGGTAAAAATGTTTTAAATCTAAAATCGAGTGAATTATTTAATAAATAATTAATAAAACTTCAATCATCTTTTAGAATTGAAATTAATTATTATCATTATTATTATCATTATTATATATAAATATAATTATGTAAAAAATAGATAAATAACTAAGGAAAAAAATTCATCTCGATTTAGATTATTATGAAAAATATTATTTTACACATGAAATTATCATCCTGCCACGAATTAAACACACGACACTCTTCATATCCGCAATTCAGTTACTTCTTTAAAAGCACTCTCTCACTCACACGACGCGAGGAAACCCGACTATTAACTCACTAGGGAAGAAAAATAACTTCGAGACTCTCATTTCATACAAACACAAGCAAACAAATAAATAAATAAATAAATTACTCTAACCCAAAAATAAAAAAATAATCCTAAATTATTTATCATTAAAAAACAGTTAATTATTTCATTATTTACTACTATTTTCATTCAAACAATTGATATGTGTACGAAAAATTCACTAGGATTACAACTAGACTATTTTTAAAAAATTTTCATCAAAACAACTGGATGTAGAGCAATAGTTCCCATGGGTGAAAATTGTCGGGACTCATCGCTTTAAAGATAATTAGGCATAATAATCAAGGAACTATTTAATTGATATTTTATACAATTTCCCTATAAAACAAATGACTGATTATTTTATTATTATCATCATTATTATCGTATGATTGAAAAAACAAAAATCAAGGATATTTGTTAGTATGAGTGCTGAAGTGTGTACACACGCTGTGAATTGGTTTATTTATTCTGTTAAATAAATAATAAACTTGTAACGAATATATATCGCTTTATAAAGATATAAACGTATTTGAGATATGGCACGTGTGGAGAGAGAATCGCGTGGGGATGATTTACAAGATTCATCCCAAGCTTCTCGTGATCTTGTCATTCGATTAATAATTATTGTTCTTTTATTGATCGTTAATTATCATTAGTTATTATTAATCCACGTTATGTATTTTTTTGTTAAATTCAATTTCCTATTTATTTATTTATTTATTCATTTATTATTTCAATTAAACAGTCATATCTATCATTTCTTTGTCCTTCATCGTAACTGCGATCGGGGTGGGAAGTCTGGATGGTGATTGAGGGAGGAAAAGAGAGAGAGAGAGAGGTGAGTGCAGTTATTTTTTCGCAAGGCCCTCTGCGGCAACGATGAACACACCCGCAATGGCACAGAAGACCTTAAAACCCTGGACGATGTAATGTGGGAACCAAGTATTTGATTGTTACATTAGTATTTATTATTATTATTATTTTTTTTAATAATATTCCTATCGTTTGCAATTACGATCGCATACGCGATCAGGTTACGTCTCTTTATAAAGAAGAATATGTGATTTACAACAAGGCAATTTATATTAAAGCCTTGAATTTAATATTGGGAGTATTGCATCAATATTGTATTTATTATTTTTTTTTTTTTTATCAATAAATAATTGATAAGCTAGTGTGTTTAATAGTCCCTCACTCTCATGACAAACTAGCACATCTATTCTTCTTTGTTTGGTAATTTAAAAAAATTGTTATTTCAATTGTTTAAACTTTTATTAATATTATTAATAGTTAATTAGTTTTATTATTACTTTTCTTTATTTGTTTTAAACCACGAATTTAAGTATACATATGTGTTAAAGGTAAATGCGGTCGCACTCTCCCTTGGAGTGTGTTCATTCGTGTTTAATATTTTTTTTTTTTTATTTATTTGCTGCGTGTCGATGATTTCATTTTCGTGTATAAAGGGAAAAACAGTACGTTTTGCAGTGTTTACGGACTACAGCTAGTCATATCATTATGTTTATATATATTTTTTTATATATATATATATCCAATAATATATAATATCATCGTATCATTCATCATTATCATTATAATTAGTAGTATAATTAATTACTTGCTTAGATATGAAATCTAGTAGGAACATGATTGCACCGCTCCAGCAGCCCGTTTGTTCTCGGAGTCTGGCCATCGCGTTGGCGCTCTTTCTCTCTCCATATTAATATCACTCTAGTTCTTTACGCTTTCTTATTTATTTAAACTTCATCCCAGTCACCCCGGTGATATAAGAATCCATTTTTCATTGCAATTCCAATTTTAATCATCATTTGTACATTAAAAAAATTTATCTCTTGTTTAAGTCGTTCATTATTTAATCAATTATTTTGTTTCAAGTTAATTTTAACGTTACAACACTCTAAGTGTCAGCTCCGGATGCCTTGTGAGCTTATAAAAAGAAGAAATGAGACGTCCGGAGCTTGGCAGTATGGCGCCCAGTGTTATTTAATCGCTACGAAAAAATAGCGAATGTGCAATTACAAACAAATAACATAAGAATAAACCTTTATTATTAGAAAAATAAAAAAAATATTGCTATATTTATAAACATGTATATATACAGTGCCAATAATTGAGCGACAATGTCGCGTGCACGCGCAGCCGGGGGAGACTAAACAAGTGCGCAAAAAAGTGCCAACGGTGCCTTCGTCCACGTAACTGGGAGCCAGTGTTCGGGCCCCGTGCCTTGGGTCTAACCCCAGAGGCTCCCCGGGAACCCTAGTTTTAGCGATTACATTAATAGATATACACATGGCAATCTCTCACAAGAATTAGTCGCTACTCATTATCAATTAGTATCAGTTAATTAATAATTATCAATTAATTATTCCAATTAAAAAATTCACAAAAATTACAATCTGTAATAATAATTATTTAATAAGACAATAATAATAATAGTAATAACCAATAATAATAATAATGATCAATAAACAATAATTAATATAATGAATATTAATTAATCAGTTAATTAATTAAACAATTAATAATAATTATCATTATTATCAAGTCGCGACTTAATACTTAAAAATAGTGCGAATTTTTTTGTTTTATTATTTATAAGTAATTATTTAATTAATAAGCAATAAATAAACGAATAAAGTGAGTAATAAAAGTGCTACAATTAGATAAATATGAGTATTAACATAGTGAAAAACTCAACGATAGAAAAATGAAAAAATCTTTACGCTCCCTTTTCACTTTTATCGCTTACATCGCATTTATTTATTATTCATTTTTTTTTTCGCTTCTCTCTTTTTTTTTTATCATCGTCCTGCACATCTTGAGATTAGTCTTCACTATATGGGGTACACACGCTCGCGCCACTCCATCCTCCTTATTATTTATTATCATAGTAATAATCATTATTATCATTAACATACACACTATACATTTTATATTTTTATTTAATAAAAATAGTAAAAAATTATCTTCATCGAGATTTTTCACATAAATCCTTACATTTTATTTTATAATCTACATAGTTTAAAATTGGATACGTTATTAACTACATTGGATAAAAAATAATGGATAAAAAAATGTTAACTAGTATAAAAATGTACTTTCCATCGTTCTTTCATTTAATATTGTTTTATTTTATACAACTTTATGAAAGGACTCAAGTGAAAAATCTCAATGTTAATGACATTGACTCTATCGGTAAAACAGGAAGTAAAAAATTATATCTCCAATTATTATGTTTTTTTTATTACTATCATCATCATTAATAATAATAATACTACAAAAACGAATTTTTGTTATAATACTGAAGTAATAAAAAATTTGATGGAATTTTTTAGTAACATTATTTAGGAAGGGAGTGGCAGCGCGCGGCGTTGTTTTCAGTTACTTATCCACAACGTATATAAATAATAATAGTATCTTAATCATTCGTAAATTCTACACAAGATTATCACTCATTCATAGTTAATTTAGGAACAGCTAATAATTATAGCGAGGTTCAGTATAATTCTATCACGCAAACTTTCGTTCTTCCATGAACTGAAAAAACTATTCAAAATTATTCCTTTGGCTGTTAAACTCCCACCTAAGAGTTGTTATTTTTTATTCTTTGCCATTTTTCCCTGGTTTCCTTCGCATACACGCGTACGTACGTACAATTAAACTTATAAAAAAATGACATAGTACAATATGTATATAGTCAACTGCCACTCGGTTGTCTTTTTCCCCTCATTGTCCGACACCACTTATCGCTTGTTATTTTTTCTCATATCTTTTTTCTTCCCGCTGTGGTAAGTGATTTACTCAAGTTAATGTATGGCTTTTTGTGTCTATACATACGCATTGTGCTTCGGTTTTAGCTTGTTTTAACAAATATAATAATTAATCTATTAAACCCCCCTTAATCTCATTTATTTTTATACACATTTATTTATGTCTTTTTTTTATTTATAAATATTTATAGAAATTCGTTGCTCAAAAATATCTATTGTTTTCACTCACGAAAAAAATCATATAAGAAATAATATTAGCGATTGCCTGAACAAAGAGGGAGCCATTTTGTGGGCAATTAAATTTTTTTATATTAATTATTAGGAAGTTTTTTTTTTTATTACACTGGGCCCCACCAATTATGATGGATTATTTATTAAATAAATTATTTCTTCAAGTTGTTTATACAATTAATTAAAAATACACCGATTTGTTTATTAAAAAATTATGAAAGTTAATTTTTTTAATGCACAAACGAGAAAATTATTTAAAAAATTTATTATGTAAAAATTTTCATAGATTCCTAATATACCTAACTTCTCACGTATTCCTTTACATAACTTCCAACGTACGACAATTGACGATAATAATAATAATAAATATACACGATTCACATTAATTGTATAAATATTATATTCGGAATATTTATTATTTAATTATAGTTTAATAATTAATAGTTCAAATATAATAATTAATAATCATAATAGTAATAAAAATCCTCACCAACGTTAAATATAGAAAAGCATTTTTGCGACAGGAACTCGAGTTACTTATCAATTAGTTACCTTAAAAATATTTATTACTTGACATTTCGTTTTTTCTTTTCTTCATTAATATTTCACATTATACCCTTTTCAATGCCTCTATACGATTGTAATAAGAAAAAACCTTTTTTTTTTTTTCAATCATTCGAATTTACTTTTCACTTCATTCGATTTTTTTTCATTAAAGTCAGTCTGGATTTTAATATTTTAACTAATATTTTTTTTTATTTCCCTCTCATAATTGAGTACTTTCTGGATGATAAATGATTCGTGTTCGCGTGATGCTAAAGCTGCTACGAAATATCATTGTCGTAAACGATTTTTTCATATCTCTAATACACATCATATGACACTTCCGGTTAATACAGTTGCAAGCACGAACCATAACATCTGACCCCTTTACAATAATTTTATTTTTTATGGCAAATTTTTTTTTTCCAACTCATTTCTCGTCTCCTACTTGTTCAAATCACGTTTATTTCGCACTTACAGTAATCACGTACGTACGCGTGTAAAAAAAAACGCATCACGATTTTTTTTTTAGGTACTACCCGCGAAGATTCTAGAACATTACAACATCATATATATTTTATTTCTTTATTAATTTATTTGCATAATATCATCTTTTAGTTTATTTATAGACTTTATTTTATTTATTTATATTCTTGTATTATTAACTTACTAATTGTGTAACTTCCAACTTGCTCACTCTCACTCCATTCTAAAAATTATTACACTTTAATTAAAAAATTCCACTGTTAGTATAATTAATTAATTAATTTTTTTTTATTGTAATAATAATTATTAATAATAGTATCTGATTCTATCATGTGATCGTCTACAATAGTTTATGTCTAATAGGAGAATTAGGCTCGCGTACCGTGTGCACCCCCGTGTCGATTTTACTCTTATCCTTAGGAAGGACGATTTTATTCTAAATCTCGCCCAATCAACAACTTTCGAATAACACATAAACTCATGTTTAATTAGTCCCAAACCTCCGTAATTAAATCGTCATTCGCATCCGTAATATATCGATAATTATCATTAATCGAAACCGTTACTATTAACAACTATAAATATTGTTATTATTGTTATCATTATTACTCTTACTGTTATTATTATTAATTCTTTTTTTCTTTACCATTATTAAATATACTTTATTAAATATAGGAACCATGTTGCTGGGTTTTCTTTCGTAATCGACGATGCTTTCACCGCCTGTGCACCCGGTGGTCACATCTACTTAATATATTTCACTTGACATTTGTTTTTTTTTCCTCGTCTATTTTTTAGTTTATTTTTATTTTTATTTTCATTCTGTTTAATTGTTTATTCTTTGTCTTTACTTACTTTTAAGATTTCTTTTATCATTATGCAAATAAGTCGTCATTTTAATTTGTTGCAAGTCTCTTTTAGTTAGCGAGACTGCATCCCAGCAAAAAATACCGTGCTTTAATCCCCCTATGACGTAATTTGCATTGATTCTTTTTTAATTCTGTTCAATAAGCCCTGAAATTGACTTTTATCTTTTTTAACATTAAAGTCAAGTGTCTCTTTATGTAGTGTGGATTTTTTTTAGTTTTAATTTTTATGCTTTTTTTCACGGGTCCTCTATCCCCAAAAGTGGTGGGATTGTGATTTGCAATAATAATTAATAAAAACAATTGAATAAAAAAAATATCTCCATCATTACGTTCATTCCAATTCTCACAATATTTTGAATTTAACAATTGAGACAATCACTGAGTAAACATTGACATAAAAAATTCCTTTTTACAATATTTCTTTCGTTGGTTTCACTTTTTTTTTTTAATGTTTAAACAAATAATTGTTATGATTTGTTGAGTAAAGAAATTTTTTATATTTATTTCTTACTCAGTGCCCAAAAGATACAAAAATGCAATAGACATAGAGAGAGAAAGAGAAAGATAAGATGGATTGTAATACGTACGTACTCGTAGGAAATTCGCGGGATAACACGCCACACGATTCACTACCTAAATTTGTTAAATTTAAATTCATTGTATCATTTATTACTTTATTACTTTACATAGGAACGTTAGTCGCAGACCATCACAATGATGACGATATCATTCATCAATCGTGCAGAATTTTTCTCGACTTGAATTTTTATAACTTGAAAACTCATACCGATCTCGCATCATATAATGAAAATTTTCAATCAAGATAATCGCATTAGTAATTAATTTTTACATCCAGTCAAACTGGATACAACCCAATTTGTTAATTACAGTCCTTAGATTCCCGAATAGTTTAAACAATCGTGAACCCCGCGTTTCATTTTTTTTAAAATTATCCAATTAATTAATTATCATTAAAATTTTAATTTTTATTATCATTATTAATTTATCAATTTTTAACTTAGAGGAACTTGGTTGAGTACGCGCGATAACGAAAACGCGTATTGGCTACAAAAATAATAGACAAGCATAACACAGAACAATGATTGATTATTATTATTATTCTATTCATTGTTCTGATTATTTTCTACTTGGCCACTTGTGTACAAATCACTTGAGTCTTTTTCCCGCACACTTTTCATCAAATTGACTTTTTTTTACCATCATCATCATTATCATTATCATCATCTCACAAGAAAAAACAACCTTAACATCATCAACTCTCATTCTTCCTTGATCCCCCGTCGATTGGATGTCTTTTCCGGTAGATTTAGCAGTTGCATCATGGAGTTTTAACGTGCCCCAGCAAGTGCCGCGACCTCCTGGACAAGTTTCTGGCGCTTGGACTCGGGTCCATTGTTGTTGTCTTGACTGGTTTGGTTTGGGTTGGTGGTGGTGGTGCTTTCAGCAGCAGCTCGAGCAGCAAGAAGTGTTATTTGATTCACAACATCCTCCATTTCATCAGTGAGAGGGTTTGTTTCTTCACCTGATTGTGTTCCCAGGTCTGTCATCGAGTATTGCTGATTGACAAACTGATGATGTTGCTGAGGACGTTGTTGACTCGCCTCCAGTCTCGCCCGGTGTTGAACCGTTTCAGCATGTCGACGCCACTCACTCATTGTTCCGTAAGTCCTTGTTGATGCCGCAGTATCACAAAGACTGCAGCTAAATCGTGTTTGAACCAGTCTCAAAGCACCACGCCGTTGCTGATTACCGAGGTAACATGATCGTTGATGGGCCAGTAGTGATGACTCTTGAGGATACGCACGACCACATCGACGACACACTAAACACAATTCTGATTCTATCTCGCGACAATGAGGCGGTAGACTCACTGGCTCGTCATTTCCAGTTATTGGATTTGGAAGCCGAACTGTTTCCAGTCCTGGATGATTTGGATCCTGTTTCAGGAATGCCTGCATCAGTGTTCGTGGTACTTGGACCTGGGTACCATTCTCCACTTGTAAGGACATCATTCCTCCGTTCATATTCGCATTTAAAGATGTCGTCACTGCTGAAAAAAAAATTAAATTCGTTTTTTTATTACTGTTCTTACTGAATGAGCTGTTTTTATCAGTGAATATAAAACAAGTGATTTTCAAATGAAGTTTAAGAAATAAATGAAACACTTGTTGATAAAAAAATTTGTAAGATACATTTTTCAATATTTATATCATCCTCCTGATGATTTTGTTGGTCTTTATTTAGTGATCTGATAAAAGAGTATTTTTAGCAAAACTGTTACCATATTTTTTTTTTTTAGTAATCGTGTCAAGAAATTTAAAAGATAATTCAAGCTTATCATAAGGATAATTTGATGAAAAAAAAATCAAGATTAAATTGTAAGCTCTTAATTTATTATAAATATAAATATAACTAATAGATACTAAATTATTTAATCCAATTATTCTTCCATTAATTATTAAAAAAAAGGATTGATCTAAAATTATTTCTCACAAATGTGGATTGAAATTTTATTGTGTACCTCATCATTCACTCAATCCTTTCAACCTTAATTATAACCTTCAATTGTGTAATACTAATCGCCAGACATGATTGAGTGCTATTACTTTTTCATAGCTCAAAAAAAAGAATTCAAAAAAAAATAGCTCTATTAAAATTTTAAAATAATTATCATCGAATCAATATTTTATTTATTTCTATTAAAGTAGCTTTTATATCTGAGTACTATTTTATTTCCAGCACGAGACAACATCGATGAATACTGTCTAAAGTATAATCTAGACGTACGTCTAGAATTGATTTGTACTGACTTAGTTGTCATAATACAGCATAGATACACAGCATATAGACATGATCGGGGTAAAATTTATGTGAAACCTGTTTCGCCGCAGGACAGGTAAATTGGCAGTTATTAGCCTGCCCGTGAGGCCTGGGTACATTGACGGGATAATTTCTCACCATCGTTGTCTCACTGGAACTCGTTTTAAATAAAATCCTATATGCTTCGAAGTATTTTATTGTCGAATTAGTGAACTATCTAATCACTAATTTTACAATGTAAGACAATCTCTAAGTATCCCAAAGGTGGAATTTAAAAAACACGAAAAAATATTTGCCTCATCCATAACAAGTTTTATCAAGAGTTGGTCCGATAAAATGAAAATAAAAATTAAATCGTTGTATTTACAATAGTTTATAAGATTTTCGATTCAAGTGTGATTAAACGAGTTGACAGGTTTATAATGATGACGCGCGTGGGTAACATATATAGCTTATGATAGCAGATGAGAGTCGTTACGAGGCAGGAAGTGTTAATGATACCCCTGCTCATTCACCGAACACTCTCCTGTAATTATCGTACGATAACCGTGGTTTAGTCGCTATGGAACAGGAGTTTGATAGGATAAATGAAAGAAGAAGAGAGAAGAGGAAGTTTGTTAAAATTATCTCAGTCTTTCTCACTTGTCAAATTAATTATTTAACTGCTAGATTAGTGAATTAACTCAAGGGGATGACACTATTTAGAATTGGATTCAATTTAATCACTTGATTGCTTGAATTATTTTATATCTAATGTATTATATATATTCACGATACCATCCTCGACCACATTAATAAATAAATTACATATTATTTTACAGTCATTTATCAGCTGATATTGCTTCAGATTGGCTACACTGATGGCTTAATTAGTCAATTGTTTATTAGGAGCAGTCATCTGGTGGATTGTTTAATTGATCATTAAGTCGTATGTGGTTTTTTTCATTTAATAAATGTCCAGTGAGAACCACTGAACTCGCAATCTTCTATTTGACCAACGTTCTTCCCACGGACGCATTTATCCGTCGTGCCTCGATCGCGCCTCTCGTGTCAACAATTCTTTTTTTTCACTTCAGACTGCACGAGAAACGAATCTGCGAACGAGCATATACGAATTAAAGCCATGAGGAAAGTGAAAAAAAATCATTCTCAAGTCAAACAGAACGCCTTTATTTATTCTAAATTATTATTATTTGGGTAATCGAATTATCCTTGCTTTAAAGATCACTTTTGAGTTGATGGTAATACAAATGAGTGTATTCAGTATGTTTTTAAAGCAATACTTTTCAATGAATATGTTCAATGTTTTTTTGAAAACATCTTCGAATGAAGTTTGCTCCAAAATAAGGTTTGAGTGAGGAAGTACAGTAATTATTGAGATATTTTTTTTTGGAAATAATTGTGTTTGACTTTAAACCATAAAAGCAATAATTGATGGTAACTCTGATGATTGTTGGATATAATAATCATGAAAAGTTAAACATAATTTTTGGAGTAAAAGTTGTTGGAATAAATCAGAAAGGTTTTGAGCTGTTAAGAAATTCAATTACCTAGTAATTTTGATAGAAATAAATATCAAAATGTAATTCTTCCAACAAGAAAGACAATTTTCTGATAAAATACCCCATCTTGCCCTCGAGGCAGGTTCAAGATGATTTAAAATACATTTTGACTCCAGGGTTTCTTTTCTGCTCCAACATCTCCAATTAATAAATCTAATCTCATTGTAAAAATAATTATTATTGGCTAATTATTCAATTTAATGTCAAGTATCATCAGTAATAAAAAATGTTATCTGTCAAGTTGAGCAGGTTGGGAAGAATCAAATAAATAAAATGATGTATATGTGGCATGTGTATATATGTATTTAGCAGAGTGATTGGTGATAGCACAGTTGACAATTTATTATGTGTGACACCCTTGAAACAATCAGTCTGAGAGACATACCCGACAAATATGATGGTGCGGGGTAGAGTAGGAGGAAGATGACTAGGGATTATTACTCTTAATGAGCACTGGTTATTTCTTTGAGTGGCTTTGATTTGCTTGGCCATCATTGCACCACCCCACGCCCCACGTCGAGTTCTCATACGCAGACAAGCTGGAGTAAAATAGTGTTTGCATTTACACGAGTATATATCGCAGGCTCAGAGTCTTTCTTGTCAAGTGGTCAAGAGGTGGAGAAACACGGGAGAAGACTCATTTGCGTATGGATTGAGATAGTAGTGCTACGTTACAGTTGACTTGTATGTTTTTCTTTCAATGTGTGCAAGACCAAGTACGAGATTCTGATTGCTGGCCACTCCCAATACTCCCAGTGATTCTCAGTTTAAATAATTAAATGTTTAATCATTCTTTTATAAAATTATTCCATTTGTTTTAACTTTCATTCATCTCCAAGTCTAAATATAGGTATTTTTTTAATACTTTAAAGTCCTGATTTTTAAATATTTAAAATTACCCAATTATTACTTACTTAGTTTTGTTAATAAAATTCTTTATGTATCCATAAATAATATAAACAAAATGAAGTTAACAAACAATAAGTTTGAATTAATTAAAATAGACTTCGGATGTGGCAAAAATGATCTAAAAGGACTTGAACAAGTATCCATATTTCGACTTGGGTCATGTCAATTATACCCCAACATCTCCCTATCATCACTCAATAAATCCCTAAACATTTTTCCAGATATTTCTTATTATCATGATGGTCACTTCATACTCTAATAATCAACAACTATTTTATGAAACAGATAAAATTATTTCAAGATTTTTCTATTGATAGTGAATAATAAATTGATCAGTTTATTGGTCTAGAATTTTATGAGAAGAATTTATGGTAGATTAATGATATAAAATGTATCAAAATAGATAACAAATTTTTAATTAGCTATTGTTCAAATATCATTAATAATCATTTCTGATCCAGAAATGTTCTAGAAAGTATGTCAGAATTTATTTAACGATAACAATATCGAATTCTCAAGATGTCTATTATTTATTAATATATATCTTTCATTTGTCTATTTCATATTTATTGAGTACACAAATTACTAAATCATTTAACCTTAATAATAGGAACGTTTTAAAATCAAATATTAACACTTTCAAATATTATAGATAAGAAAGAATCGACAAGTCGCACATATTTTCAGACTATTATCAGTGGAGATATTCAATAAGTACAAATAATATGATAATATCCATTAATAAATGGTAAAAATGCAATTCAAAAACATTATATTAAACGAGTAAAGACGTAGAAATAATGTAAATTGTGAGAATAGATATAAAATAAAATTATCAATGTAAATTCAATAAGAAAATAGAGACATTGAATATGTATATAGACACGTGAGCCCATAAACGATGGGAAATAGGGAATGTATTGGAGTTGTATCGTTGGTTTGTTCTACAAGGAGGTGGTCAATGATCCGGGTTTTCTCTTATCTCAAATTCTTTGGTAAAAGCAGCCTTAGGTGGGACGACATGGGAAGAATAGTATCCTGATTATCTCATTCCTTTAGCTATTTTTAACTATAATTATTTTTCTTCATAATGTTTTAATAATTATTTAAATTATTCCAACTTTTCATAAATATTTATCTTCTAAAATTTTCTAATAAACTCATAAATTTAATTTTTAAACCTTCTTCAAAAAACAATAAATATTAATTCTAACATCATCATCATCATTCTTATTCTCAATTAATAATTTAATCTTCCATTGTTTTAAATTACTCAATGATATTTATTTATATTAAAATTATTATTTAAATTTTTTATATATTTTTGTGGCTGTTATTCTCTTAACTGATGAATTTATCTAATTAATTAGCGACATTGTAGTGAGAGAGATCGTTAAAAAAGCCTCAAGTAGAATTAGGTCCAGAATGAATAAAAGGTGGTCGATGATCGAGGTTGGTGTTATCTAAAATTCTTTGGTAAAAGCCAGGCGTAGATGAGAGCGGATATGGAGAGCCATGGAGAATATATCCTGATTGTGAGGATCGACCGTGAACGCAGAGGTATCGGGCACGCGAAGAGTCAATGCCTCGACTGGCGGATTCTCTTCGATTGCAGCGATATACATATAACTATTTCAAGGGTAAGTATGTATCGAGAGAATGAGAAAAGGATTCTCCTACAACACTCTCTCTGTCTCAGCACCAGTATATACCTACACGAATGCAAGGAAAAACACGTTGGCGTAGGCGTGAATTCCTG